AAATGAGGCCAGAAAAATATGAAAAGCAAAATAGATAAGGGTATAGAAGACTTTAAATAAATTAGATGAATAATAGTAATTTTATAAGGCAAATGAGTAAGCCAAAACTTATATAAAAGAATACTGAAGTAAATTTATAAACTAAAATGAGTGAACCTCTATAAACTTCTACAAAACTATGATAAGGTAACTTAGGAAAATATATATTTAAATCTATGTGATGCCAATGCAAAGCAGAAATAGGAAAATAGATTAATCTCAACTACACACGAGTATAAAAATATGAGTCCAGGATTTAAACACACTAAATTAATAGTATTCTTATTATAAAGTAAAACTCTATTTAGATATTTTTTATTTCGAAACCTGCCGAAATAATTCAAATATGGTAATTAATTATATAAAATAAGATGTAAAAAGCCGGAGTGAATGAAAGAGTGGAAGGCATAATACTAAGTAGAGTATAAGTTGCGCATAGCATATGAAAATGCTTTGCTTTTAAATAAAAAAAACTAAAAGTATTAAGGTTATTAACAAAAAAACAAAAACTGACTTAAAACGTCAACCATAATGGTAAAGTGGTCAGATATCATGAAATAGCATGGATGATTCATTTCTTGGATAAAGCAATACTTTTATTGGGAAATTGTATTTAAAGCGAGGTGCGTCAGAAATGACAATTACAGGGAATAATTAAAGTCTATAAAAATAAGTTATTCAAGAATAAATCGAGTTTTCGATATAGGTCTATGTATTTATTAGAGGTTGAAACAAGTTAGCGATTATTCAAGAAAGTAAAGATAAAGTTAATCTGGAAAGAAAAATGTAAAACATTGCGTTTTATATATTTAAAATTTTACTAACCTTACTGTATAAAACATTAGTACATTTCGATAAGTGGTCCTCAATCAAAGAAGAGCAAGACCCACAAGTCATCCCACCTATGGAAAAGACGCAAAACCTAATCATCGCATTGCAGGACCGAAGTAAATAAGGCGCTAGAAAATGAGCAAGGCTAATGTAGAACCGCTAAAAATGGAAAAAACAAATTGTTAAACGACCCATAATAGTTATGCAAATTGTGTAATAAAATACAATTAAAATCACCTTCAAAAATATTTTGTTAAATAACTAAAATGCATTTTTGATATTTTATATATTAATATTAATATTAATTATATGATTTTAAAATATTTGTTTTTCTATACTATTTATATACACGAAGCTACACGCGTATAGCCTCTGTTTTTCACTTTCACACGTAGTTACTTCTTTGCGATGGGAGGTGTGTATATTCTTTTTCCTATTATCTTTTTTCCAACCTTATTTTAATTTACACTCTCCTCGTTACAGTTAAATTTCTTGACATTGTGAAGCCATTCTGCGCTATACTGCCTGAGATTGCGCGACCAGAGAGAAAGATCCAATTCCGTGAACGAGTACTATGGACAGGAATAACGCTTATGATTTTTTTATTTTGCTGCCAAATACCTCTTTTTGGTATACTGTCTTCGGAGTCCGCTGACCCTCTTTACTGGTTGCGTGTGATATCTGCATCTAACAAGGGTACTTTAATGGAACTGGGTATTTCTCCTATCATCACCTCTGGCTTGATTATGCAGTTACTTGCCGGGATTCAGATACTAACAGTAGGAGATGCACCTAAAGATAGAGCACTTTTTAATGGTGCTCAAAAGCGTAAGTTCTGCTTAACTTCTATAATGTAGTTTTTGGCATGGTTATAACTATTGGCCAGGCGTCTGTCTACGTTATGTCCGGCATCTATGGCTCTCCAAGCGATCTGGGTGCTGGAATCTGTTTGCTTATTATCTTTCAGGTAATTCGCTTTATTTGCTAATTTGCTTTAGTTGACGTTCGCAGGGCTTCTAGTACTTATGTTGGATGAATTGTTGCAAAAGGGATATGGCCTCGGATCTGGAATTTCTTTGTTCATTGCTACAAATATTTGTGAAACAATTGTTTGGAAAGCATTTAGTCCCACAACGATCAATACTGGAAGGGGCACGGAGTTTGAGGGTGCCATTATTTCCCTCTTTCATCTCCTGGCCACCAGAACTGACAAAGTTAGGGCTCTCAGAGAAGCTTTTTACCGACAAAATTTACCCAATCTAATGAATATATTAGCTACCGTTTTGGTATTTGCTATTGTAATATATTTCCAAAGCTTCCGGGTGGATATTGCTGTCCGAGCCATCCGTTATAGAGGCCAGTCAACTTCGTATCCGATAAAGCTATTCTACACTAGTAATGCACCTATAATGCTTCAAAGTGCACTCGTTTCCAACCTTTATGTTATCTCACAAATGTTAGCAAGCAAGTTTCGTGGAAGTTTCTTAATCAATCTCTTGGGCATATGGTCAGATGGTGAGGGAGGGTCTAGATCGGTTCCTATTGGTGGTCTCTGCTACTTTATGACTCCACCCGAATCCTTTTCTCACATGCTTATGGATCCCATTCATGGAATAATATATATTGCTTTTATGCTGGGCAGTTGTGCATTCTTCAGCAAAATCTGGATTGACGTGTCTAATTCAAGTGCTAAAGATGTTGTCAAACAATTAAAAGAGCAACAAACTTCCATACCTGGACATCGAGAGGGCTCTATGATCCATGAACTGAACAGGCATATCCCAACAGCTGCAGCCCTTGGTGGGTTGTGTATTGGAGCCCTTTCGGTCTTAGCTGATTTCCTTGGTGAGATTTTTTCAGGCATAGGGCTACAAGTTTATTTCACTTTGAATAATGTCCTTCCATTTCACTTTTGTTATAGGAGCCATCGGAAGCGGCACTGGAATTCTTTTGGCTGTCACGACAATATATCAATACTATGAGGTGTTTGTTCGCGAGCAAAGTGAAATGGGTGGTACCATGAGTACTTTGTTGTTCTAACTTCATCTTCTTGATTTACTTTTTTTATTTTGCTCTATCTCTGTCACCTTTACCTTAGAGCTCCCTGAAATTTTTTCATACACTCGGTGTTCCAGCTCCTTTATTGTCATTTGAGTCATTTTATCGCCAATCTGGTCGCGATAGAATCCTAATATTTTTGAAGCCCCATTAGACCTGCATGATGCGTTGGTTTTGTACATTTTTTCAAGATTCGAATGGTTGGTCTATTTTTAGGGCTTCTTCAAATCAAGAATTCCTCATCGAGTATGTTATTTTGTTCTGATTTTTACCTTGTGGAAGTTGTTTCTACATTCGGTCAGGTAGTATATCCGGCTCGAATGAATGTTCATATTACGTAAATTTCCATTATTCGGCATAGGTGCTGGGGACTCTAGGCTTAATAATAATAGATTATTTTTCGCGATCACTTCATCTTAAACATCCTAGCTCAAATTCGTAATTCCATTATATCTCGCTTCTAGTTCGGCTCTTGCGAGTTTCCATTTGGGATTGTAAGAACGGCCTAAATCGGTACTCATTTGGCCTTCCCTCGGGCGGAATATGCAACGTGTCTTTCGGATTAGTGGGCATATCCGCTTAATTCTTCATCGTCTCGGGTGGGTCCCCGGTTTCTCATTTTTACTCTGATTCATTTTCAGAATGCCACTTCGACCTTGAGCTGCTGGGAGTCTGCTTTGTGTATTGTCTTGCGTGTAAGCCTCATTCTTCTGAAGTTCTTTTTTAGCGTATCGGCTGTGCATTACAGTTGACCTATAGAAAGCTTTAGTTATCCATAAAAAGGAAAGCCTCTCCATTTCTTCTTCATGCCAAGGTTCCAGCAGCCATGGGCTTATCTTAGCCACTGCTTTTCCCCGTGTTCATGGAGGCAAAAATTGGGCCGTTAATTATTTTTCTTACTAGTAGTGAAATGGTCCAACTCGTGATTCTGAGTAGTGTGAGGGTTTCGTTAAGTTGTGTCCTGCGTCCTGCCTCTAAATTCTCCTATATGGGATATCCTTCAAAAATCCTGTTCGTGGGTCTTTTGCACCCTTATGACTACCAACACGAAAGGCCTTATCATTCCATGCGAAAGTAATTGCAATAGGCATCCTCCTTTTTGCTTGCCTGGATTATATTATCTAAGTCACATGGCTCTCCTTCATGTTTTATTCGCTCAACTAACTATAAAGGTGCACATACATACGGACTCCTATAATAGTTTGGTTCACCTTTACGCTAATCTTGTGGGGTAGCCGCTACGCATGTATTTAGCGTACCCAGTATCAGTAATATTAATGTAATTCCAACCTCATCAAGCTCCAATGAAAAGCTTAGTTAAGGCTGGTTTAGCCCGAAAATCACTGATTGGGATGAGATGTAGTCTTGTGTCTGTAAGGTTAATAAACTATTCGTAGTCCGTCGGCTTAGGGTCATGTCTAAGTCAGGTTTAATGATCCAAAGAGGCGCGCGTCTGTAGTCGCGCAGTATCTTACGTCTGGTTGGGTTAGTGAGCTTACTAGGCATCTTCAACTGTGCGTGTTTCTCGTTTCTAAATCCTTAGCTTATGCGCACTGGATAGAGTGAATTAATAGCATTGCGAATATTTGACTTAGGAGGGCACGAACCGTCCTATCATAAACGCTACTGCAAGTTCCGTCAACAATCAAAAATTGATTTTCTCTTTATCACAAATTGGTGGATGTGGATGACTTCATAGCTGCGGGACGATGGGAAAAAATATCTTATGTATGAAAGTATGGACTGAAGCCTCGGATAGAGACGAGGTTGGTGCATTCGTCGGCGGCTCGGTTATGGCAACTTAGTGATTTAGTAATTTGAAGGTATTCTTTTTTATCCGACTAAAAGCCTAAGACAATTGGCTTAGTGCTATACCTCAAAAGGAGACTTATCGTTCTTGGCTCACGGGCTGATCATCCCTGGTACGCAAATTTAGCATCGTATGTTGCTTTTTGTTTACTTTATTAATGGATCTCTGGTCCAAAAGATAAACAATTAAGCTTTACTCAGCGCATGCACTATCCCACTGCACTCAGTTAAAGTTTGTGGACGACATGCCTGCCTCTGTTTAAGTGCAAGAGAATAAATAAAACTTTTCTATTGACTCCGTTTGATCTTGCTTTTGATAATTTCCTGTATTGACTTGAGTCTAGCCCGTGCTGCCTCATTTGCTATTGGTGTACTTTCTTCTTCCAGCTTTGGAGTGTTGAACCAATGTATTCTCACACATTTTGCCGCGATCGAAGTCTGTAGTCTCAGTGAAGGGAGATATAGAGAAGACCCTACTGCGCACCACGACAAAGTAACCAGTGAACTCTAGCCAAATTGATTTATTCATAATTGCATAACTTCGTCACTTCATAACGAATGTTACCCAAACGCCGCATGTTTGTATGTGTACGGGCTGGGTTGTATTGTGAAACGCTTATGCAATTTATGTCACTCCTACATCCTACGATATAATTCTTATATATGATGCCATCATCGTACTCAGCCTTAATTCATGCTTAGCCAGCAGAATATACCCTTGTGCCTTCTCTTTGGTTTGTTTAGCACATTTGGTCTAGACCATTTGACTCGTTCACCCTGTGTCAGTCTAACTGTCAAGT